AGACCTTTGAAGAGGCAATAGACAGTGATCAATCTAATGAATGGCTTAAGGCAATGAAAGAAGAGACGAGTTCTCTAGAAAAGAATCATATTTGGGAGCTAGTACCTAGGCCTAAGAACAAATCAATTGTTGATTGCAAATGAGTCTTTAAGGTTAAGGAAGGTACTAGCGGCTCGGAACCCCTAAGGTTTAAAGCTAGGTTAGTAGCTAAAGGCTATACACAGAAGGAGGGTGTTGATTATAATGAAATTTTCTCACCAGTTGTTAAGTACACCACTATCAGGGTCATGCTCGCATTGGTTGTACACTTTGACTGGAAACTTGAACAACTTGACGTAAAAACTGCCTTTTTACATGGTAAGCTTGATGAACAAATTTCATGAATCAACCAAAAGGTTTTAAGGATAAGTCAAAACCTGATTATGTGTGTTTTTTGAGAAGATCCTTATATGGGTTAAAACAATCTCCTAGACAGTGGTACAAAAGGTTTGACTCGTTTGTACTCACTACAGGTTTCCAAAGAAGTAAATTTGATCACTGCTTGTATTTTTAGCACAATGAGACTGATGATAATTATCTGTTTTTGTTGCTCTACGTGGATGACATGCTTTTGATTGGATCATCCTCTAAGTGGATAAATAACATTAAAGCAAGACTAAGTGGTGAATTTGACATGAAAGACCTAGGTAAGGCTAAGAGAATCTTAGGTATTGAAATCGAAAGAGATAGGTCAAATTCTGTTTTATTTTTGCATCAGTCTCCATACAAATCCAAAGTATTGAAGAAATTTAATATGAGTGATTGCAAACTTGTCACGTTGCCTCTTGCTAATCATTTTATTTTATCGAAGGAACAATTCCCTTGCAATGAGCGTGAAGTAGAATACATGAGTAGAGTGACTTACTCTAATGTGATTGGTTCCATAATGTATTTGATGGTTTGCACTAGATCGGATTTAGGTTTTGCTGTTAGTACTCTCAGTAGATATATGGCTAATCCGGGCCCTAAACATTGGGAAGCACTAAAGTGGCTATTAAAATACTTGAAGGGTACAAGTGACGTAGGTTTAAAGTTTAGTGCTAATAAAGAAGGTATAAAATTAAAAAGTTTTGTAGATGCTGACTACGCGGGAGATAGGGATGGTAGAAAATCTACTTCGTCTTACGTGTTTACCTTATCTAATTCATATGTTAGTTGGAAATCACAGTTACAACATATTGTTGCACTATCCACTCCAGAATCAGAATATATTGCTACCACTGAAACTATTAAAGAAGCTCTATGGCTTAGAGGCCTTCTTCATGAACTATATGTCTTGAATGATTATGTGATAGATTATTCTGATAGTCAGTCATCTATACATTTATGCAAGAACCCCATTTTTCATGAGCGCACTAAACACATTGATGTTAGACTCCACTTCATTAGAGATATAGTATCTCAAGAGGTGGTAAGACTTGAAAAGGTCCACACCCACTACAACCCCTCTGATATGGGGACGACGGTATTACCACTGGCAAAGTTTAGAAGTTTCAAGGAACTTCTAAACATTGGTACAGGTAAATGATTTCCAATTTTATCGATTTTTTATTAGAGGTGTCACTAATGGGAGATATTTTTCTTTTGCAGGTCCTTTGACACCAAAGTGGAGGTTGTTAGGCAATTTGTTGTCAAACGACCCCCCGGACTATAATGTAACCCCGGTTCTATTATCAATCGGCCTTGACCATATGATTGATTAGTATATCGACACAACCCAATCCATATTCCTATGGACCGTTAGAAGCAACCTATTGTTAATAGTGTTGCTCACGGTTCGTCCCATTTCCTTGGAGGGCTATGGTAGTAATTTGAAGCCCATTATTTTTGAGTCGAGCCTTGTTTGGTCCACTAAATAACCCTAACCTAACTTACCTTGTTTGGTCACTTGCTTGGCTTATATTCTTGACCTTCTTCTCGGCCTCCATATGAAGAATGCCCAATCTCTCTCTCTGTATTTTTTCCTCTCGGTTTCTCCTATTCTATATGACCTTTGTGGTCCTTTTCTAGTGGGCATATTATTGTTATTCATCTTGTCCAACTAATAGCAACCGGAAGTGGGAACTTGGTGGTGGTGGTTTGGAGTTGTCTCAACCCGTGAGTGGTGTCGACTTTCTTGATGAAACTGAGCCTTGTTTACATTGGTGTTTGCCAGAATTTGGCCCTACAATTATGCTCCTGGCTGCACTAATAGCTCAAATTCTGGCAGTAAGGTGGAGATTGTTGGAGTCGAACCCTGTTCTCCTATTTAATGCTTCCATAATTTGATTAGTGATGAAATCGTGTTTTTATTAAACACGACTTAATAAATATTGACACTTTACTGGATGGCCAACACGTGGACTATTTCTGAACGTTGGATTAAACCGTTTCATATGCCTTTTGTTAAAAGGCTGGAGCCTTTTGGAACGTCAGAACCAACCCTTCATTTTTGCTCTCGACTTTAGGTTTTAAGAGAGAAAAGTATTGGCGATTTGAGAGATGTTGATTTTTTTTGTGTTTCTTGTGTAAAATCTCTGATTTTACATAGAGTGTAGTGAGATCTTCCTTCGATTGTTGTATTCTGTGTGAATGATGAAGAAATCTGAGTGATTTCTCTGTTGTATCATTTGGTGGTGTTCGAAGGTGTTGTGGGCTGAGATCTGAGTGAATCTCTATAGACTTGTTGCTATACTTGAGAGATAAGTCTTATTTTCATCTCTCTGAACAATTTGTAAATCTATTGCCTTTTTTGGCTATTTAGTGCAATCGAGCACAATCCAAATCTTTGGATGCTCAACGGGGGATGTAGGCATTAGATGTGGTCGCCGAACCTCCGGGGCTTAGGCCGAAATAATTCCTTTATGTTCTTTTTAATTTTCTGCAATTTATTTCTGTTCAATTGAGATTTTCTTGTTTCTTGATTTTAATATCATGTGGTCCTGCCTTAACAGTAACATATTGCTTGTTAGCCCTCGAAGGGCCAATCCGCAAACTAAGTTTGTTCCTGGCTAAGCGAGGGGAGTAATGGCTCGCATAGAAATCGCGAACCACCCTCCACATCCAAGTTGATTACAAGTTGTCAATAAGGACACGTGTGCAAAATGAGTAAAACGTGATTCTATAACTGAATTATTTATGAAGCAACCATTAAGGAGTCGCTACCTATCATTCTCTTCAAAATGATCAGATTATCCCAATGCTTGGAAAGAAATCTATAAATATCCCCTCATTTGAAGAATGAAGCAAGCAATTAAAATCTCTCTCTCAAATAGTTATTTCCCAAGCAACTAGACTAATGAATTTAGGGGGGTGAAACTCATAATTACGTGAGAGAATTTGTTGATTATATTTACATTTGACCTTTGATTATAATTGTTTCAACAATAAAATCTTTTGATCCGATTTTTACGACTTTTCTAGTCATGGTTTTCAAAGCAAACTAGCAATTAAAGGAGCTAATAAATTGAAACGTGACTAGGATAGGAGTACGTGAACACGTAGATTGAATCACGTGTCAAGGGGATGACGAAGATTGAAGAATAAGTGCTGAATTGTAAAAGAGACCACCGCAAATTGTCAGTTCTTCACGTGGATTTCTCGTGCTTTCTGCCTCCCTCAGGCCCTTTACTTTGCTTATACTATTCGAATACCATTTGGTATCACAAGGAGGCATTGAGGGCTCCATCCTACTCCCATTTAATTTGTTTTAGGACCCAAATTTAAGACATCATTGTTGCCATAGTTTTCTAGATAATTAATTACAATCGAGAGAATGCCAAGTGGAGATTGATCATGCATCCAAATTATTGTATAATTCTTGCCTTATGTTTCTTATTGTAGTTTAAGTTGTATTTATTGTGTGAAAATTAAGAACATACTCACATCCATACACTCTAACGTCGATCTTTAGCAGCATGTGAGTTTTGTATTATGGAACAAGATGCTTTGTTTTGTTTAGAACCAATAGTCGATTGCCTACTAAATCTCTCAATAATTGTAATAGGTATACTATCTGTAACACAATAATATCATATCATACGTTTTTATTAATAGAGTGTATAATTCTTGCCTTATGTTTCTTATTGTAGTTTAAGTTGTATTTATTGTGTGAAAATTAAGAACATACTCACATCCATACACTCTAACGTCGATCTTTAGCAGCATGTGAGTTTTGTATTATGGAACAAGATGCTTTGTTTTGTCTAGAACCAATAGTCGATTGCCTACTAAATCTCTCAATAATTGTAATAGGTATACTATCTGTAACACAATAATATCATATCATACATAATCCTTCGAGCAACAATCCCACCTCGTCTCCACTGGATTTAATCCGTGAGAAAAGTGTAAGTGAAGATGTTAATTATTGTGAAAAGTGCGACTACAGTGAAAGATGAAGACTAGAAAATTGAGGCTTTACCCATCTACCATTGGAGCACAAGTCAAGAACTTTGCAGCCAATTGTTTGCTCCATATATAGTCGTATGAAGAATTGATGTTTGGTTTGGTACGGTTGGTCCTAAGAGGAGTTGTACGTGAATTGTTAACTGGACCTACAAGTTACTGGTTCAAGGAGCAAGTGTTTGCTACTTGACCCTCATGCCTCCAACTATATTCAACACAAAGGACACTGGTCCCAACTCCCAACTTCAATCGCTTTATCGCACAACCCCTCTTTCTTCCCTCTCTCTATCAAGATTTTTCTGAGATAATGCTAGGAAGATAGTTTTTGTACCGTACATGATACTAGCTAATTAATTAACTCCAGCTGCATAATTTTCAGTGTTGATTCACAAAATCACAAGATTTGTTAGTTTAATGTCAAAGTGATTAATTAATTATTATAGTCATTTCCCAATAATGCAGAGAGAGATTCTTGATTGAACATTGAAACTTGGAATTTATAGAAATTGGGTTTTATAAGCCAAGATTGTATTATTCTTCGGCAAATACACATGCATGAAATAATTTGGCAATGATAATGAAAGAGCCCTCTTTCTTTACAACACCATAGTCAAGTAAGAATACACGAAATACATGCTTTTACATTAAAAACTAGCTATTTCTCTGTCAACTTACGACAAGCATCTGCAAAATGCTGGAGACTTTGAGATGGAGATTGGTAATTTTTTGATGCCGCAGGGAAATAGCTCCCACTAGACATGGGTACTGGGAAACCTATCCCGGTTGGCCTATTAGCAGCGGCTCGCTCGAGGGACTGCACCTGGTTTTTCAAGAATTTGACATAGTGAATTGCTTCATCTAACATGGAAGCAGTATCCATTTTGGTTCCACCAGGCACAAGTCTCTGAAGTATTCTTATTCTTTCACTAATCCTTTCTCTTCGATGGCGTGCAGCTACGCTTTGAGGGTCTGTTGAAATCTTAACATTTCTTCTCTTTGGTGGTTTCACCGATTCAGGGTCAATGTGAATTGGCTGCATTGCTGCAATTCGAAAAATCATCTCCCTCATTGCAGCCATTGAATTTCGCTTCTGTGCTTCATCTCCCACAATTTTCCACCTGCCACCACTTGAATTAGGCAAGAATGGCATCGCCGATGGATCTTGATGAATAATCGGGGAGCCCGATCCCGAAAATGATATATTACTTGGCAGGTTCATGAATGATGAAGCTGAATTATCATCAACAACTTGTGGGATGGAACCAATATTAGTTCCATTATGAGCCCCGTATTCCATCAACGACATATCATTGATATCGGCATAGGGACCGGAGAATTCGGAGAGTTTGTCCATCTGCATCAGCATCATTTCCATCTGATCATCTTCTGAAGCAGACTTGATGAAGTCAATATCCATGACTTGTTTGGTTCTCCTTTATATATAGGGTCCTCAAAACAGAAATGAAAATAAGGGTTTAGGGAAAGTAAAAGTGTGCAAATTTCAGAGTACAGAGGGATGGGTAAGGTGAAAAGAGTGTGTAGACTGAGAGTTTTATCAGAAGGTGCAGTAAACAAAAGAAACTGCTAATAATAGTATTAGGTCTGGGAAGAAGAGATGAAGGGTAAAGGGAATAAGATAGTGATATTGGGAACAGACGCTTGTGCCAGTGGCAAGGTTTATATATACACGCATATACAAGTTGTTCAATATTTTATCACAAAATTGGTGAACCTTTTCTTTTAAATTTTTTTTTTCTCTTTTTTTTTTCCAAAATCATTCCATTTTTTATTCAAACAATCTTCTTTACCCAATAAAGTCTTGAATTATTATTGCTGGCAAGAAAAGCATTATCAAGCATATTCACTGCCTACATCAAATCAGGACCCTTCAAATAATGGACTATCTCTTTGATGATCAGATGAGATCACATCCCACCCACCCAAGAAATAAGTGTCTCTATATATGCCCAACTTTTCTTACTTACACATTTGATGTATGTGTTATTGGCATATACAAGCCCGTTAGGTAGTGAGTTTTCATCCTAAAAAATTGATTGTTTGACTGCTATTTCACTATTATGTATGTGTTATTGGCACATATAGGCCCGTTTGGTAATGATTTTTCACCCTAAAAATTTGATTTTTTTGACCGTTATTCACTATTTCAGCCGTCATTTTTGACTTCTTCTCCCACATATGGCCTCAACTTTTCTTCCTAACGGTCAAAAAATCAATTCTCAAAATAACTACCAAACGAGCTCATAATAGGGTATCAACGAGTCTTGTTGAGTTGAATTCAAACTAAATTATCTTGAACTCCTCGATCGAGCTAACAAAATTTTGAGTTACAAAATTTAAGTCAATTTCTTTTACCAATCTTGTCTACGGAGCAAGATGACGAGTGCATTATCATGCAGAATTTGGCCAACTGTGCCAATGGCACAGATCTAATGTGCCAACTGTTCCAGGGTTGACATAAACGTGAATTATAATACATAATATAAATTATCGTATAGACATATATTGTTCAGTTACAAAACTAAAGAACCCTAAAAAAAATCGAGAGACTTTGGTGAGTAACTTTATCTGAACTATAAAATCGTTAAAGAACCCTAAAAACCCCAGTGTCACGACAGAAGTCAGAGGTTTCCACCAGCCCAGCATAAAGAAGAGTCACTGAGCAGCCTGTGGGTCAATCGGACGTCAGAAAAATCCGGTGCCGGAGTTTTTAAATCATCAACATGTACGTATGCATTAATAAAAATATAAAATATATTTACACACATGAATAAGGGCGTAGTCTATAATATGAGGGACCAACTATTCTGGAATTTACAGGTGTGGCACACTTTTCAAGGTGGATTTATTTATGACCGCAAAGAACTGTTTCATGTGCTGGTGGAGGTAGCCAAATTTACCAGCGGTGAACTGGCTTATATATACTTGCAGTCCTTACCTTTTAATTTACTGTTCACAGAAAACAACTCAGCTTCTCCATACCTACAACAATTTCTACTAATTAATAGGATAATTTACCACAAAGTGGAAGGTATTTTACTTCACCATTTTGTTTACAAGTTTCAGATCAACTCGAAAGTACCCCTGTATATTATGATGATAGGGGTGTATGGTAGGGGTAAAACAGGCATAATCGCAGGAACGAATAGAGCTGAGCCGACCATCTTTCATAAAAAAAGAAAAGAGAAAAAAAGAAATATATATATATATATATATATATACGGCGTTTAATGAGATAGTCAAGTCCGTGTCAAAGATGATACAAATATTATTTATTTATATCTTATCTTCAATATATTTTTTATATTATATCAAAATTTATTTTTCATTAAAGGTATAGAAAGTGAAATTTCGTATACAAGCTGGATTTTACAACCTCAAGGATAAGGAACTTTGAAGTAAACCATTTATATAATTTAGTCCATGTTTCGTGTAAATTAAAACTAGTTTAAAATTTCAAATCAATTTAACAATTAATTTTACACATGCATTTCATTAGATTCACAACTTTTCAACCACCTAATTTTAATCAACACCAAACAAGCGCTAATTGCCATCGAAGGTGATTCAGTTTACGTATCTATGTTGCAGTCGGATCCAAGAAAGAAAGATGGATTAATTTTTAGGGTAAATTCTTTTAAAGGTCCTCAACCTTTCTTAAGTATAGTAAGTTACATCATGAATCTTTTATTTGTATCACTCAAGTTTACAATTTGTAAGGCAAAGGTCACACAATATTAAATCGAGAAGCAAGAAATCGAAATCGGCCAAAAGTAAACAGTGTAGAAAATTAAAGAATCAACACAAGATTTCTTTCGGCCTAGGCCTCGGATGTTTGGCGACCACATCTAACGCCTACATCCCCCGTTGAGCATCCAACAAATTGGATTACGCTCAGTTGCACTATAATAGCCAAAAATGGCAACGAAGGGTTACAAGTGTTCAACAAATACACTGAGATGAAGCAAAAATACTTATCTCTCCAGATCGACTCAACAGCTTCGAAGAATCACAAAGAAACTTCACTGCATCCCTCTCAAAACATCACAACTCAAGAGGACGCAAGACATTACAGATAATCACTTAGAATATCTAAACAAAATCACTAAAATTTTCACGTTTAAGGCCTCAAATCAAAGATTTGAGCCAAAGAATCGTGCAGAACAAACCCTAACCAGACGAGGGGTTTTATCTCTCTCACTCAAAAAACCAAGAATCGAAACGCGTAATGGAGTAATGGGTGTGCCAAGTGAAACGGCACGTTAATAATGGAAGGTTCGAGATTCAATCCAACAGCCATGATCTAGCCATGTGTCTCCATCCGGTTAAAAGTGTCAATTTAATAAAGTTGCATTTTTACAAAACACGACTTCTCAATATCATAAAATTTTGGAAGCATACAACTATGGTTCGAGTCTCACACAATTTTTTAACACTGTGAGAGTTGTATTCTCACTAGATAGGAACGTACATTGTTTGTAACTAAACCTGTAAAATTGTCGGAAAATCAAGCGGTGACTATTCAGCTTATATTAAATGTTGGTTTTTTAAAAGAATTTATCCTTTCAATTAATATCACATGATTGTACCACACATGATCATTTAACGTCTAAATTGACATTTTTCATCAAAAGATTGAGGACATGACTAACACACTTATAAAAAGTTGGAGACTGATCTAGTATTTACCCTAATCTTTATAAAATTTACGTGCTTTGTTACCATATTAAATATTTTAATTTAAAAGTTTAAGTTAGTATTTCTAGACTTACTGTTTATTTATATTTTATGCGTCTAGGTCAATTTAAGTATTAGTGTTAACTGACATGTTGGATAAACTGATGCATAATTTATTTTCAGCTAATAAAAATTACGAGCATGCAAATACGATAGAGTAACAACTTAACGAAATCATGATGCGTGCATAATAATGAGCAAATTACGACTTACCCAAGCATAAAAATTAAAAGAAGATAAAATGAAGTGAGGCATGTAGTGTAAATCTCCTCAAGACAAATTTCAATCCTATACTAGTGCTAACAGGATCAAATGGACGTCCTTCTCCTAAGATATAATGTTTCTTCCAAAATTAATATAGCACAATATTAATTTTACTGGGTGAACCAATGCTTGATCGTACTTTTCTAGAACATAAGATATTGAATATGAAACGTACAATAATTTGAAATTCATTTTGACAGAATTTACAGAAGGAAAGAATTAGAAATCAATTATATGGAATTGATTTTGAGTGAAGAAAATGGAAATAGGAAAGTTCAATTTATAGATTTTCATGTGTCTTTTCGAATGGTTGCATCTTTTGGCAAAATTAATTCCAACCATTAGATCACACTATTTCAAGATTGATGATCTAGATTGCACATTATCAATATGTTACACCCCTTCAAAACAACTCTTTAATATGCAACATTTGCATTTGGAGAGTTGTGCTCAATCGACGCACTTATTGAAGACTTTTCCAGTTCACACATTTTAATCCTTATATGACCCTAAAATTCCAGCATAACAAACTCGGATGATGCCCATAAGAAGTATATATGCTATAATTGGTTGAAAAAAAAAAAAAGGAACTAACTCCCACAAACCAGACTGCAAAGAAATCTTCAAATCACTTATCTAAGATTATCCCAAATTAAAAATAAGAATTAGAGTACTAAGACTTGAAGTTCCTTTCTACAAAGTCAACATTGTTAACATGAGTTGTCCAAACCCTTATATATCGATAGGAATTTTATTCTTAACAATTCTCATAAAATGATGACTCATTTGAATACAACGTTCTTGAAATTCAAATGCAAATTGAGATTTAGATGAGTCGAATTGCTCGTTTTGAATTTGATAGGCTTGGATGTCATATTAAGATTTAATGTTTCATCTTAAAACATCAATTTTGTTAAGAGAAATACTTCAAACCTTATATGTCAGTTAGTCTTTATAATTTATCGTGTAAGTTTTACCCTTTAACGTAGAGTGTGACTTCTTGAATAACGTAGACAACTAGCTTAGATAAAAAGGGTAAATTGTGAGGATAACAAGAAATGGAAGAAGCAAAATCCCATTGGCTATGTTGGGATTGGCCTTCAACCCATTGGAACATATTTTAAATGAAGGAAAGACATTGACAAAGACATATAACCGGTATAATCATAGTGCTAATAACACAAGGAAGATCTTTGAATAAAAGACAAAGTTTGATAATGGTAAAAGTCAAACATCATTAATTATATCAATTGTCTGACCACCAACTACATTTATTCAAGCTCCATCTATGTGAAATGAACTAATTCAGTAAAAGAGAGGTCTCTGGAAATTAATGTTCCATCACTATGGATGCAAGACTTGCATATGAAACTTAGAAGTCAGAACAAGAATTAACGCACAAATGCAAAAATGAACAGCATAGCTATGCATTCTTAGATGATATGCATGTAACGTCACTTGAACATGAAAGCAAATCAGTTGTACACGACATTCTTGAAGTAAGAACCAAATCAATAGTGTTTAAGGCGATTTGTGGTCGTCTTCTTACGTTAAAAATTGCCCTATCACCTCACTAACTGTGAAATTTGAAAAGAATTGATCATGTCATCA